ATAGGCCAGTTTGATATTTTTATATGTAATAACCTATCCTTCAGTAACCACTTCCTTACAGACAAAAAACAGTTATTAATTTATTTTAACTTGTAACAGTATGTTGGACCAATACCTTTATGATAATGAACTAATTATCTGGTAGGATTTATAATTTACAAAACTCTACTGGACCATTTTAGGGTAAACTATATCAGTTTTCCAATACTTGATGGTTGACAATAAAGGCCTAATATACTTTGATGGACTGGCTGCTTATTGACAATGTTAACACTAAAGTCGATTGAAATAAATTTACAATAAATTATTAAGATATTAACAATTACATTAACATTAACAGTGTTTAATATCTTGTAAAACTTTAAAATAAAACGACACGTTAAGAAAACAGTGAATTTAAGGACGTAAAAGTTTGAGTTGGTTATCTCAGGACCACATTTCATATTTCTCTTGTATAGTTCAACTATCAATGGAAAAAAATGGGATGAAGGTTTCCACCTCCTCCTGTCCAATTTTAAAGCCAAAATGTCAATTTCTGTGAGAGTCACCACCACATGGGCATTGAAGCCCCATAGCTAAAGCACCATCTAAAAAAAAAACCACTACGGACTCCAAATGCCTCTTTGCCATTAATAAGTACGACTCCACTCCACTAGGCAATGCTTATAAGTCCATGTGTAGCCATGTTGCCATCATCTTCATGACAATGTTCATCCCTTATGTTGCTGGAGTATCTGAGAAACTTAGGTCTCTTTCTGAATCCAGGTCTCAGAGTGGAGATTTTCGGGGGAACCGCTGCAGAAGCGTGACATGCTCTGTAAGTGTGAAGTTGCACATGTGCATTACAGGCGTATATGTCAGGCACGCGCAGCCAAACAGCATACTTCTATCAACATCAATGGCGCTGGAGTATGACGTACTGCTTTTCTTAAAGTTACATTAAGTAATAAACTGACACATGAAGTTGTTTCCACTAGCCATGATTTTCACTCTCCAAATAAATATTTACATTCGTCACACAGGTGGAGGTACAAAATTCAGAATGCCAGCTACCTGGCATGGCAACTACAGCGGCACCGGAGCATTTCTGCAGTTCCATGTTAACACTGAATGCGGTCCGTGTAAACGAGGATTGTCCCCCCCAAATTAACATCTGAAAAACACTACATTTCTAGCGGCTGTGTCTGTGTAAACGGGGCCTAAAACTTGAACTCCACACTCTGTTCTTTGAATTGAGAAAGCTCCTTGGATGAGAAGTGGAACGTCTTCAGCTACACAACAGAAGTCCAGTCGCTTTTGCCTTTAACTTTTTTTGGATAAATGTTAAGTGAAAACAAGAATATACATTTGAAACTGTGCGATTGATGTTGCTGCTACTTACATGTTGTATTTCTTGCTGGCTGGCTCGGTAGTTTTTCTTTGTTAAATTGTCCACCAGATAGCTGATTTGAGACAAAGCCAGCGAGAGCGAATCAAGATTCATTGCTGGTTGGGGCGGAAGCAGGCGGCCGAGCACGGCGCAAAATCACCATTATTCCCCTTTAGTCACTTCGGTGATAAGCTACTTCTGCTCCCCCCCCCCCACCCCCCAAAGGGTGTTACAATTATTAGTTTCCAAATGTGTGCTCTGATCTGTGGGTCCAAGTGCTGGTAGAGTCCTTCAGATTAAAATCAAGTGGAGTATCTGAAATAAAAGAATAAAATGTAAAAATAAAAAAAAGACAAAGGACGAAGACATCATTTCTTGGTGGTTCAACTAAAATTTAGGCTAGCCAATATTTACTAGTCACAGACAACACAAACTTGAAACAAACTTTCAGGACCACACACCCAAAGGGGCATTTACAGGGTTAAGTACAACTTCTTCCCACCAATGGCTCAGAAATAAATATATCTCTTTAGACAACGATGAATATAAGGTTAAGTCTTACAGTCTTACATAACAGCTCTATTGTTTTTATTTAAAGCAGTGGTTTCCAACCCTGGTCCTTGACGAACACTATCCTGCATGTTTTAGTTATTTCCCTGCTTTTACACACCTGATTCAGTGATTTAATTACTTCATCAAACGCTGCAGAAGCCGGTTAGTCACCCATTCATTCAAATCAGGTGTGTCAAAGTAAGGAAACAACTAAAATATGCAGGATAGTGTTCTTCGAGAACCAGGGTTGGGAACCACTGACTGGTTTAAAGTAGGGGTGCACCGATAAATTGACCGGCCGATTTATCGGCCCCGATTTCCTTAATTTTGGGAAATTGGCCAGTACTTGCATGGGATTTTACCGTTTTGTTTTTTTGTTTGTTGTTGTTGTTTTAACAACAATTGTCTGAATTTAATTTATATTTCAGAGCACTACATGGCCAGTTAAAACAAGTTTGTACTGTTTCTAGGATATTGTTCAAGGGTATGTTTTTCAACAAAATAAAATTGAAAATTGAAGGTGCATTGTGACCTTATAACAGTGTCGCTTATAAAACAAAATCGGTATCGGCAGGTCAGACTTTTTAGAAATCGGTCACTCCTAGTTTAAAGGTCTCATAAGTTAACATAGGACAGCACGGTGGCTTAATTGGTACAACTGCCACCTCTCAGCGAGAAAGTCACCACTACAAATCCCAGGGGTCTTTCTGGGCAGTTTGCATGATCTCTCCATGCTGCGTGGGTTTTCGCCAGGTACTCTAGTTTCCTCCCACAACCCAAAAACATGCATGTTAGGCTGATTGGTAACTGAGTGAAAGTCAAAGACATTGTTGATTATCAAAAACAACAAACAGGTCTAATATCTCCTTTTATCGAATATAACCAAAGAACAGACAAAAAAAAAACAACAATAATCAGTTAGTGAAGCCAATATAAAAGTTAGAAAATTAGCTCATCCTGCTAAGATTTACAACAAGTGTGTCCAAAAGTAGTCCTAAATTTCATAACGTGACCCAGTTGGGGCAGAGGTGGCTGAGTGGCTAGAGCAGTCATCCTCCAATGGAAGAGTTGACGGTTCGATTCCACCAGCAGTCACATGCTGAAGTGTCCCTGGGCAAGACGCTGAACCCCTCATTGTCTCTGATGTGCGTCCCATCAGTGTATGAATGTGATCTAAAGCACTGATTAGTCTCTACATATTCAGATTAGCTTTATAGCGATGTAGTAGAGTGCTGTGTGAATGGGTAAATGAGGGGAGATTGTAGTGTAAAGCGCTTTTGAGTAAGATAGAAAGGCTATATATATATATATATATATATAAGTACAGTCTATTTACCATTATTTGCCATTTACCAGTTTTAAATTTAAACCAGTCTTTAAGTTAGCATGTTAGCATTTAAACCAGCCTTTACAGAATGCTGAATGTTAGCATTTAAACAAGACTTTAGGCTGAATGTTAGCATTTAAACCAGACTTTAGGCTGAATGTTAAAATTTAAACCAGCCTTTAGGCTGAATGTTAGCATTTAAACCAGCCTTTACAGAAGGCTTAATGTTAGCATTTAAACCAGCCTTTACATAATGCTGAATGTTAGCATTGAAACCAGACTTTAGGCTGAATGTTAGCATTGAAACCAGACTTTAGGCTGAATGTTAGCATTGAAACCAGACTTTAGGCTGAATGTTAGCTTAGAGAAGTTTCCGCTGCGGCCGAGCAGCCCGACCAACCAGACACAACACACCATGACGATGAGAAACAGAGCTAACAAATTCGGTCATGGGATTATTCTGTTAAAAAAAAAAGAAGCTTCACAACGTGTCTAACTAAAGGAGCGAAAGCTTATAATTTAGGTTTGTATCTTACCGACAAGCACAACCGAGCCGTAATCAGTTTATGTTGAAGATTTTAAACTTAATGCTACATGCTAACGCTAATAAGTTAGCATTTGTTAGCAGTGTGAGTTAGCTTCAAGCACGAGACGGCAACGATCAAAACTGTACGTTTCACTTTTTGACGACTCAACTAAACTGCCGGTGTCAAATATTTCTGTTAGCTACTGCAGAGTAAGTTAAAAGACTGTGTGATTTCCTTTTTCCAATCAGGCTTGCTAACAATATCTATAACATTGTTAGCTCGCTTCCATGGGCTCCGACTACTTTAAGGATTGCTAACATTGGAACAAACCATAACCCTTAAAACCTTTACTCAAACATGCAGAGTGTGAATTTTACGCTTGTAGTTTGTAAACCCTTTTCTGTAAAACCGCCTACAATACATGAAAACCATTGTTAATGGACATAAGTTACATTTCAGATGAGTAATGACAGCTGTTTCTCAGCAATTAGACTCCTCCATAGCGCCAGTGGCCAGCGGCTGTCCTGTGTTTAATCGCAAAAAATAATAAAAATAATTAAAAATATTCATAATCTCACCATCTCTCCTGTAAGATTTTTCAGTTCTTCATTCCTTTTACTCTCACACAACTAATCTACTGAAATGGAAGAGTTGCTGCTCCTTCACATCAGAGTTTCAAAATAAGATGGCGTCTGGCCCTGCCGCGGCGCGCTCACGCTTGCCTAAGAGAGCGTGAGTTTATCCGCGCGACACATCACATGCGCGCGGACAGAGCGCCGAAGGCTGCTTACAAACTTACAAACTGCCGGTCAAATTTTACAGAAAAATAATCTTATTTCTTTTTTAAATGAAGCCAGTGTACAGATTTTTTTTTTTAACTGTAACATTTAAAAGAGTTGCAGCGCAGTGTGACGACGACATGAGAAAGTACGAGAGTAAAAGTCGTTTTTATATAAAGTATCTGTGTATTTCTAAAGGTTAAAGAGTTTTTGTTACAAACTATCTGTATATTTCTGGACAGTAAGTCGTTTTTAGATGATCTTTCTGTATATTCTTCTTCTTCTTCTTCTTTTATGTTTAATGGCGGTTTTCTGTATATTTTTGGACATTGGCATTTTTAAATAACCTCAAGACCATTGCTGTGATTGAATGCACCTGTTTGTGGACTGGTCATGATAATTATCTGAGATGTATACTGGTCATAAAATTAGAATATCATTAAAAAGTTGATTTATTTCAGGAATTCCATTCAAAAAAGTGAAACTTGTGTATTATATTCATTAATTACACACAGACTGATGTTTATTATTTTAATGTTGATGATTATAACTATGAAAACCCCAAATTCAGTATAATAGAAATTTAGAATATTACTTAAGCCCAATAATAAAAAAAGGATTTTTAAGGTCGGCCAACTGAAATGTATGAACATGTACAGCACTCAATAGTTGGGGCTCCTTTTCAAGGAGTCAAGGTTCTTTGTCATTCACACATGTGGTACCAAATTGTTTACACTGGGTCCCAGTTACATTCAACCAATGTAAAAAGGGTTTTCTTTAGTTGTCAGTTATATCATCAACATTAAAAGAATAAACATAAGTCTGTGTGTAATGAATGAATATAATATACAAGTTTCACTTGTTGAATGGAATTACTGAAATAAATCAATTTATTCATGATATTCCAATTGTATGACCAGCACATGTATATTGTGAGTTGTGTTTTAGGGCCATTGTGTAGCCCATCAGAAGACATATAGTTTTTTTTTTTTGTTTTTTTTGACTGCACGCACATGCTCAATAATGTTGGAGATAAATAAACTTAAAGATACTAAAGAAAGCAAGTCTGGGATTCTGTCCATGGTGAGCTGCACCAGTGATCCACAGATAATCACTGTATATTTCTGGACATGAACTCTTGCATTGTATCATTTTTAAATAAACTCTCTTTATTTCTGGACATTAAGTAATTTTTATATAAACTATCTGTATATTTATGGACATTATATCATTTGTATACAAACTATCTATATTTCTGGATGTTAAGTCATTTTTGGATAAACTATATATTTCTGGATGTTAAGTAAATTTTATATAAACTGTATATTTCTGGACATTAAGATATTTTAAATTATATAGTTCTGCACATGAATTCCATTTTAGATCAACTATCTGTATATTTATGGACATCATATACTTTTTATATAAACCGTCCGTATATTTCTGGACTTTGGGTTGTTTTTATATAAACTATCTGTATATTTCTGGACTTTAAGTCATTTTTAAATAAACTGTATATTTCTGGATGTTAAGTGATTTTTTTTTTAAATAAATCATCCTTATATTTCTGGGCGTTAAGTTATTTTTATATAAACTATCTATATATTTCTGGACGTTAAGTAGTTTTTAGATAAACTATCCATAAAACAGTATGTCGGTTTTTTTTTTGTTTTTTTTTACTTTTCGTGTCATAACTTCAGGCAGTTCCGGTCTCTGCCGACAGGGGACGGCAGCGGATTTTTAATTTCCGGCAGTTCCGGTCTCTGCCGATAGGGGACGGCAGCGGATTTTTAATTTCCGGCAGTTCCGGTCTCTGCCGACAGGGGGCGGCAGCGGATTTTTAATTTCCGGCAGTTCCGGTCTCTGCCGACAGGGGGCGGCAGCGGATTTTAAACCTGCTCTTTAGAGGATGATCCTCTTCCTTCTGCAGCCTAGTTTTATGTGTGAGTAAAATAGATATAACGTGTGAGGAACGTCAGAGGAAAATTTCTTCACTCAGTGTGATAAAAGTCGTTAGTTTTCCAAGTTGAAGCAACAGTTCAGTCTAAAAATGTCGTCCTGGGTAAAGCCCAACGCAGGCGGACGGAGGCCTTCAGGCAACTCCAACGGAGGGTGAGTCTCACTAGCGTTAGCATTCGCAGCTAACCGGCTAGGGGAAGCAATCAAGCGCTTTCTATCAAATTGTAAACATTTTTACCGTATGAATTAACAAAAATCAATGCTAGTTATGAATAATACCACTCAGTTTTTGTTGTTGTTGTTTTAGTGCTCAGCAGCTCCGCGTGTTTCGAAGAGCGAGTCCTTATCCAAGCAGAGTGGAGAAAACCGAGGAGCTTAGCGATCCTTTGGAAAGGTACCAGTTCATCCAGAGATGGATGGAGCCCCACATTAGGTTTATTTCTTACTGAACCGGGTCAAAACACACACGTCATTCTGCTTTTTTAGACGTGAGTTATTCAGGGGGTTCCCAACTACTAGAAACGTTTCTACTTTTTTTTATTTTTTGAACGTCCAGAGGACCTAACTTTTTTTTAAATTATTCAGATTTTTTTTTTTTTTAAATTTTGCGTTAGTCTGCATGGTTTACGGCAGCAGTTCTGCAGCGATAAGCAACAAGTTTCTTTTAGGTCACTTGTGATAAATTCAGGAATTCACCTGTGAGTTCTGCAAAGTCGTAAAGAAATAAACATACATCCATTATCTTTTACCCGCTTCTTCCATTTTGGGTCACGGGGGTCGCCGGTGCACATGTCCAGCAATCACTGTGGGAGGGGCGGGGGACATCCTGGACGGGTCTCCAGTCCATCACAGAGACGCATACAAATGAGAAACAACCATTCACGCTCTCACTCACACCTAGGGACAATTTAGAGTCACCAATCAGGCCAACATGCATGTTTTTGGTCTGTGGGAGGAAACCGGAGTACCCGGAGAAAAGCCACACATGCACGGAGAGATCGTGCAAACTCTACCCCGAAAGGCCCCCCAGACCGGGATTTGAACCGGCAACCTTCTCTCTGAGAGGCAGCAGCTCTACCAGTTGCGCCGCCGTGCTGCCGGTGTAAGAAATAAACAGAGAAATAAAATAATTTTGTAAGCCGTCTTGTTTTAAATCAACATTCGTTTCTTAGTGTGAGTCACAAACACTTCAGGTGGTGTCTGTCTGTTGTCTGGACACATGGATCTAAAATTACAAACTTCTGAAGACACGAAGCTTTGACTGCTCTCCTTTTTGTCTCTTTTAGTTATGAAGAACTGGAACAGCTCCAAAATTATTCTGCAGGCATAAAGTTTGAGGCATTCAAGCATCAATCAAATGGTGAGATTCATTTGTTTTATTTAATGATACATAAAGCGATTGTCTGTTTTTTGTATTTATAATTTTTAAAACCCTAAAGCACTCATTCTTTTAAAAAGCACAATGTGCTTGTATCTTTATGACAAATCTTTGACACGTCAAGTTTCCAGAAACATTTAATTTAAATTCTTTCTTCTTGACTTTTCCCTGATTTCTCTGTTTCTCCTCATTTTCTCCGACATTTCTTCCTGAAGTCAACCCTTCAGTAAAGCCAGAGGCGCTCACTCCAGCAGACAGACGTAAAGCTCTGTACCAGAAGTTCTACAAACAAGTTCAGGAGGAGAAGAAGTCGGCCGACTGCGTGGTCCTTTCTGTCACCAATAAGTGCCTGTGAGTTCTTCAAAACCACCACCAGCTTTCTTTGACCTTTTATATCAAGCATGAGCTCATTTAGTTTAGACCCAGCTGTAGTGATGCTGCTTGTTGCTAATAACTTCATTTTCTGTGTTAAAACTAGAGAATTTTCTTGAACCTTACTGTAAGATCTGAATGAACCTAAATGTTGTTCACCCATCCTGTGGACAGGGCGAGCTTTGGGATGTTTCTGGTATTTTTAGCTCTTCAACTTGTCAACTCGATAAAAATCCAACAGGACTTCCTAGTCAACATGAAGAACAGCTTGACAATTTTTTTTAATGGACTTTGCACCAAAAATCACAACTTGCAGGTATAGAAAGAAAGACGTGAGAAGCATAAACACAGGAGCAAACCTTAGACGTTGTGATGACTTATGGCTCTTCATTGAGTCCTGTGAAGAGCCACTCGAGCTAAATTTAGTCTGTTCCCAAAGAGAAGCTCTGAGCTTTTGGACCCAGTACAACAAACAAACAGCACAACATGTCGCATAAAACACTGGAGCAAAAGAAACGCACAACAATCTGTTGTATGGTTGTATCACACACATCAGCATTTACATTATTTTTTATTTTTTTGCAAATGGTTGACAAGCCAGTTATACTTAGTAAAATTAGGATCAAACTCTTGTTTAATTCTCCCACACAGAAATTAATTGATCACAAGTGAAACTATTTTCACACACGAGAGTATTTTACACTGAAAACGTCTTAAAATAACATTTAATTTCCTGCTACACTTCATGACAAATCAGATTTATCTTTCAGCATCATGCTCACTTCAGATTCTTCAGATCTGATAACAATTTCCACATCTGTTCAAACAAACAAGATGTAGTGTGGGTCTTTCCCACGATGCTAGAATTCTACTTTCTAGTTAAACAATGTAAATTAACGTGCACGCCCAGACCATGAGGCCTTTTTTAAGAACTCATGGATTCAGTAAAAAAAAAAAATGTCCTAAACAAATAAAAATCCCCCAAAAGTTTTAAAAATATTAATCAATTTTCATATCTTTTAACTACTTGAAACTAGTTTGATTCATTGGTCGGCTTTGGTCCAAAGTAGAGTTAGTGGGGAGACCCCAGGACAGGCCCAGAACCTGTTGGAAGGATTACATATCCCCTCTGGACTGGGCTCACGTCAGGGTCCTACAGGTGGAGCTGGAGAGACGGAGGCCTTTACAAATCAGTTTCATCAAATCTTCTAAAAAATGTTTTTCTGTTGAAAATGAGTGACATGTAACACTTTTCAAAATAAACACACGTTTGTGTGACGTTCTTATACTAAAACCACATTTCAGATTTGATCAGTTCTAAGAACAACAAATCTGTTTTGAAACAATGAAACTGTAACCGTTAGATTTGTTGGGTTATCCGTTATAAACGGTTTAATTACTGAGCAACAAAACTTTTAAAACCTCTCGTATGTTTTTATGTGTTAAATGTTCTTCACAGCTCACGTCCAGATTGTTGCTTTGCACTTTCGTTCTGTCAAGAATGTCCCAACATTTACTTTAGATTCAGACTATTAATCTAAAACACACAACCTGAACTGACTCGCTTCACAATTACAGTTTATTCTGAAATTACGTTAAATGCTTAAATCTAAACGTCTTACAGCAAAATCAAAAATACAAAATAAGCTGAACATTTTTTTTCCACTTCTCAAATCCACACATACACTAAACTCAACCAATTTAAGTACTTTCACTCTATTTTCAGGAAATCTTTTTAATAATTTTTTGTTGTTGCATGTGAACAAGGTGACATCACGATGAACCTGATGATGATGATGATGTTCAAGAACAGTCGAAAAGCTTCGGTCTTGTTTTAATATTATGATGTATTTGTGCTTACAGTTCAACAAAAAAGTAGCAATGGTAACTTTTGAGTCGGTTTACAGATTTTCTGCAACACGTTTTTGTTGAAATGTTGCTGTTTTCTGACTTGGCCATCCCTTCAGAATATTTTTATTACATTGTAGGTGTAAAGAACAGGTATGAAAATGTCTTTGTTGCATAACTTTCAAGTTGGCACCAGTTTAAATTGTGTATAGTTGCATTCAAGGATGGAGCCACACACGCCAGGGTGCAAGATGTCAGTTTGGTTGCGATCCACCTTCCTAACATCAGAATCAACAAAAATATATTTTTATTTTCCCGTTAACAGCATAAAAACTTCCTGTTGCAATAAGTGTAACTTTTGCTTTCTGTATTTAGTTTAAATTTTCTTTTTCTTTTGTTCTTCAATGCAAACGTGTGGAGTTTCATCGTAGATTAAAAACTTGAATGGTCTTGGTACTGGTGCGCAGACCAAACACACTGACACCACTTCCCCCCTCTCAGCCCTGACCCTGAACCCACAGCGCCTCCTGTGGACACGATAAACTCAGATTAAATGAGTCAAACTCACATGGAGAAGAAGCCAGTAATTCTCCTTCATCATATTGACACTAACTTTAAATCAATGTTCCCTTTCTTTGCCGTTCTTTCACACTGTAACTCTGCACATGTTTCCATGGAATAGTAGTTTTAAGACTTTGATCTCAAAACGCTGTAAGGCAAGGGTCCCCACCCACCAGTACCGAGCTTTGAATCATTTGGTACCAGGCCACAGAAACATCCATCCATTATCTAAAAAAGTTAAGTCAGGCCCTCTGGACGGATTCAAAAAATGAAAAAACCTTGTTGAAACATTTCGTCTTTAATCCAAAAGACCGTCGGTCTGAGGAGCTGCAATAAACTCAGTCTTATAAACGGAACCTTCTCAGAGTGGATCAACCAGTTTGTTGACAGCCAAACCAGCTGTTCACATGATAAAGGAGGACCATCAGCCTAACAACTGATCATTCACGCTCTGATGGCTTCTTGCTATTCACAGGAGGCTGAGTGATACTAGCAATAACAGCATTGTAAGAGGGACAGTTGAACCCGGAGGCCTCCACCCCTGTTTAATGATGGACGGTTTCTTTTCACAAAGATGGCCTCCTTTACTCCTCTCTATCAAGGATGTGAACATCTTCATCCTTGAAAGAGTGACTGCTGGCCTGGAGATGAGTGTAGACCGCAGAGTCCTGGCCTGATGATGATGATCTTCTGTGCTGGGCCATCCTTTTGGCCAGTGGCTG